GAATCCCACCCAGGACACACACGCCTGTGTATCACAGCTAACATGGGACACACACACGTCACATCACAGCTAACACAGCTCAAAACATTTCTGTTCAGTCACACTGTCATACGTGTCAATACCAGTTTGCTACATTCAAAATATTGGACATTTATTTAAAAAACCCAAAACCCTCATACATAGTATAAAAAAGGAAATTGATAAGCCAATCAATTGTCTGCCAGAATTCCAAATGGGGCTGTGTGAAAAGTAATTCGTCTTTTCAGCAGTCAGAACTGGACTGTTCCACTGCCCCTGGGGCTGATGCCTTCCCTGCCCTTACTCACTACTAAAATCAAAATGCAGTTTTGAGATCCAGTTTGGGAAAAGCAGATTGGAAAGGAAGCACATGTCAATACCAAGAAATAATGTACTATGTTTAACTTTGATTCTGCAAACGTTTATGTAAATATTGAATCATTTTACATAAATAAAATGTAATAACAGGTAAATAATCCTGTTAAACTGGAGGTCTTCACCACTGGGGTCTTCAACATCCTCCCGAGGGGCAGTGGAGGGGCAGGTACAGATCTCTTCACTCTGGTGACTACTGACAGGACTAGAGGAATCTGCATGAAGCTGAGTCGGGGGAGGTTTAGGCTGGATATGAGGAACAGGTTTTTCACCCAGAGGGTGGTTGGGCACTGAACAGGTTCCCCAGGGCAGCGATCACAGTACCGAGCCTGACGGAGTTCAAGAGGCATTTGGACAACGCTCTCAGGAACATGGTGGGATTCTTGGGGTGTCCGGCGCGGGGCCAGGACTTGGACTCGATGATCCTGGTGGGTCCCTCCCAACTCGGCACATTCTGTGACTCTACGAAGGGGCTGAGCCCGGGGCGCTCAGCGCGGCCATGTTGGGGACAGGACGCGGACCCGTCACCATGGCAACCGCGCAGTGACGTCACCTGCCTGCGCCGTGACGCAAAAGGGGCGCGCGGGCGCCGAGAGCAGGAGGCGGCGGGGCTCCATCCCGATCCCAGTCCCGATCCCGATCCCGATCCCGCTGCGGCCGCGGCGGGACTGGAGGAGGAGGAGGAATGGCCGGACCGCACCTGCAGCAGCCCAGCTTCCTGCTGGTACGTGTGCCGGGGGCGGGCGGGCAGCCGCGCGGTGTCCGGTACCCCTGTGCGGTCCCGCGGGCCGGGCGGTGGGTTCGGGTGTCGGCTGAAAGGATACCGGAGGAGCGGCGCAGGCGGGGCTTTGTTTTTGTTTTACGCCATGGCCACGGTAAGCGTTGTCCGTTCTGATCGAGTTTCCCTCGTGATTTGTAACAGGCCACGCTGAAAGCGGACTGTGTAAACAAACCGTTTGCACAGCGGTGCCACGACCTGGAGACCGTCATCGAGGAACTCCCCGCCAAGGTGAGCGGCCGCTGCCTTCTCAGGACCTCCCTGCCCGGCAGGTTTCAGGGGGATTTATTTTTGTCATGTTGCTATTTTCTTTGTCCCTGTTTCTCTTATCAAGATAAACTGGAATCTATTCGGAACGGGCTTCCCAGGGCAGTGGTGGAGTCACCGTCTCTGGAGGTGTTGAAGGAAAGACTGGACGTGGCACTGAGTGCCCTGGTCTAGTTGACACGGTGGTGTTGGGTCACAGCTTGGACTCGATGATCTCAGAGGTCTTTTCCAACCTCATTGGCTCTGTAATTCTGAGTTTTTAGAACAGTGGAATCCAGTGTTTCCAAGAGTTAAAAACCTTTTCTAGCCATTGAAAGATTGTTTCAGTTGACTGCACTTCATTAATACCTTTCAACCTCAGTTTAGGAGGGAAACTAGTTTTTAAAATGTAACAAATAACTGCATGTGGTGCTGAGGAGCATCACAGCAAATTCAGTAGGATCAGAGGTCAGGATAGATCTCCCATAATTGCCATATTACAATGCAGTGTTTTGAATGGAAGCTCTGCCCAGTGACAGTCTGGAAACAGTCATAAATAGCTGGCAGACAGTATCTTTGTGCATTCTGGTATGTGCAGCAGAGATTGTCCCTGTGAGGGATCGTGCACATTAACTCCTTGTGTCTGTTTTCCCTAAAGGAACTACATGGCATCTTCCCGTGGCTGGTGGAGAGCATTTTTGGTAGCCTGGATGGCATCATCGTGGGCTGGAATCTTCGCTGTTTGCAAGGAAGAACAAATCCTAACGAATACTCTGTGGCTTTGGATTTCCTGGATCCCAGGTAAACTCATTCATTTCAGCACAGATTAAAAAATGAATCAGTGAACAAATAACCAGTGTTTGACCTTTTTTCCACTGTCCATAATTCACAGAAGTGAAACAGGAGAGGGTACTCACCGTGGGTTTTCTCTCTGATGCTTGTTTGCAGTGGCCCAATGATGAAGCTGGTTTACAAACTCCAAGCAGAAGAGTACAGATATGATTTCCCAGTCTCTTATCTTCCAGTGAGTAACTGAACAGTTTGTGGTTGTTGTTGCAGCTGTTGAAACTTTGCATGCCCGTGGTTCAATATAGGCCACAGTGTAGCCTGAGTGCTCCAGAGTTAGAGTAGACCTGTTTCCTTTCCTCCTCTGGAGGAGGAGAGTTCCCAGCCATACACTCTGTTTGAGATTGTGGTTGTCAGCAGCTGGATATTTGAGGTGCATTGTGATTCTTACCCTGTCCCCAGAGAAAGTCGTGTGGTTACCAGTAGTTGCAGGACTGAAAATAGTTTTCCAAGCTCGTCACAGAGCAGTGACTTCCCTGGCTACGCTTTGTACCCACGGGTTTGAAGTCTCACTGCCATCCTGGATGTGAAGTATCACATTTCAAAGAAAGATGTTCATCTGCAGAGTTGTTTCACTATGTTTCTTCCACTGCTAGCAGCTGCATGCTATCTGGGGATTGATTCAGGTAGTTCTACAGTCTTTCACAAAAGGAAACATCATTTAAGTAGATGGTAATTGCTGGTCCCCAGCTCAGTTACCAAGACAAAACCATCAGCCAAACACCAGTCCTCTGCTGCTCCCACTCCAACTGGAAAAGTCATGGTGAAGGTTTTTTAAAAATATACTGAATTTAAATTAAAAAAATACTGAATATTCTTTTCAATGAGAAGGTTGAGAGTTCTCTAAAGACTTTGCATTTGCAGAAGGAACTACTGCAATGCAATAAAATCCCACTGAGCTGAATGTAGAGATCATCCCAGAATGCTGGAATGCAGAGCCTCACTATCTAAAAACATACTCTGCAATATGCTGAGTAGCCAGATTAATATTTCATTACTCTGTCTTTCAGGGCCCTGTGAAGGCTTCAATACAAGAGCAAGTTTTGCCAGAATGTTCTTTATACCACAACAAAGTCCAGTTTCCTTCATCTGGTGGTTTAGGTTTGAATTTGGCTCTTAGTATCCTTTTAACTGTTGGATATTTACTTCTGTTTAAATATCTAAAATTGAAAGATCATGAGTGTTTCTGTTGTATATTTACTATGTGTGTGTGGTAAATCATGGTTGTGCTAAAGAGTTTGGGCTGGTCAGAAATATTTAGATAACGATGAAAAATAAATTTGTCCTCTTCTTATAAACCCTTGTTGGGGGAATTTCTGGCCTCAGTCAAATCAACAACAAAATTCCTAGTGTTTTCAGTAGAGCCTGTATTTCACAATTTTTGTTTTTGTTACTAGTCATAGTTTATGCAATGTGATAGGAAAAGGGCATGTTCACTTTGCAGCCAGCAGACTTGTTGGAAGCGCTGTAGCTGTAGCTGTGCTGGTTTCAGTTTGAGATAGTCAAATGCGCAAAGAGTGATGCAAACACACGTTGTCACACAGAGAACACCTCAATTGCCAAAGTTTGAGTCAGCTGGAAAGCCAGAAAGCAAAGCTGAATTTGCTGTTAGCAAGGTAATTTAGTATTGACAAAATAAAAACTTAATGACTGTTTAGCATCCCCCAATATCTAACAGTTGTGCCTGTTTTTTATTATCTGATCCTTGACTCTGTTCTTCCAGATCCATTTGAATATTACATGTTTTACTTTGCAATTAGTTTGATTACACAGAAGGTAAGTACTTGTTGCAATTTTTCCCTTAAAAGAGTATTAGCCTTTCTTCACAATGCTACAAGAGCTTCCTGAGGTGCTTGTAGATAAATTAACAGCAGTTTTATCAGTTCTTTTGGAATTTGTTACTGCTTTGGTTCAGTTGATGATCCAAGATAATAAACAAAACACCCACCTTAGATACACCAGTAAGCAGTCTGTCCAACCAACAAGGAGCAGGCAGTGGATTCCAAGTGGGTTTCCTCCACCTGTGTCAGATCAGACCTTCAGCAGGGCTCCTGCTTATTCCTGCTGAGTGTGTCTGGCTGTGCAGCATCACTTCCCAGCCCTGGCCAGGCCACAGTGTGTAACCCCCAGCATTCCCTGTGTCTCTGTTACAGAACTCACCTGTCACCCACCACGTCAGCCCTTCCAACAGTGCTTATTTCATCCTGGTGGACACGTACCTGAAGTGTTTCCTGCCCACAGAAGGAAGTGTCCTTCCTCCACCTTCTTCAAATCCCGGGGGAGCCATCCCTTCCCCAACTCCCAGGTAATGACTGCAGTGCCAGAGGCAAATTGTGGGAGCAGGGCATACGAAATATGGCTGACTGAGCAAGATCTCTACGAAGTAGAAAGCACCTCCACACTTAGATATGCATGTACTTATTATATAATTACAAAATGCAATAGTGACCTAGTGTTTTAGTTAATAGTTAAAGTAATTAGTAATTACAGTAAGCTGCAGGATTTTGAAACGTGTAATCAACAAGGCAGTTTAAAAGACTGTTTTCCAGTTTACAGGCTGGTGATTAAAAGCAGTGATACATTCTCCTGCACTGAGGCCTACTGACTTGAGTATTTCCATTCATTTTTCCTGGCAGGTCTCCAGCAGTGCCCTTCTCTTCCTATGGCATGCACCACACCAGCCTGCTGAAACGCCACATTGCTCACCAGCCCTCTGTGAATGCTGACCCGGCTTCCCAGGAGATCTGGAGATCAGAAACACTGCTTCAGGTAAGCTGGATTTCTTGCTGCTGACTGAGGGACCTCTTCTTTTTAAACCAGAGACAGTTAATTCCGTTTTGCTTTAGCTTGTTTTTGGAATTGAGCAGCACAGCTGTTGCTTTCTGTTAATGAAACAAAGAACCACTGTAAAACAGTCAAGTTGTAGCTTGGAAAGGCACTTACTATCTTTTTTTTAGACTGAGTTTCTAATTACTGATCTCAAGTAATTTTGAGTAATTTTTTCTCATAAGGTTTCTACACTTGATGTTTCTCTTTTTTTGATCTCACATCAATTTATGCAAAGGTTGAGCACAGAGAAGTTGGTTCTGCTCACCATCGAGGGAAGGGAAAGGAAAATCTGGACTTAGTTGTTCTGAAACAAGTTCCTATCATGTTGCTGAACTGACTAATTGATGCCTGGCAGGTGCAAGGGTTTGCCATCCAAGTCATTGACATGATAACCTGAAGCATCTCTGAATAGGTGCCTGTCCATTTACCAGCTTAATTTTCAAATTACATACTATGGTCTTCCTTATGCCTATCTTGTGACTGGCAGTCCTGGATTATTTCTTTTTCCCTAGCTGAGAAAATACTTGTTTTGCAGATCTTTGTTGAAATGTGGCTTCATCATTATTCACTGGAAATGTATCAGAAAATGCAGTCCCCTCACGTCAAGGTAATAGTTTGTACTTTATTCATGAACATCACCTGGTGGTTAAACTCTTATCTTGAGGTGAATCTCCTGTTCTGTGGAGAATTTTTTTTTGTATGTTGGTCCAAAGGAAAGAAATAACTTACCAGAATATCTACGTGAGTGTGTCAGAATTGCTAATCCACTTATGAAGAATGTTGTGAATAAGTGTGTCATTCAGATTTGCCTTCATTGCAGAAGTTGTGTTGGTTTTTGTTTGGTTGTTTTTTTTGTACAAGATGAGTTTGTGGGATGGTCACAACAATCTGAACACCAATAATCAAAGTACTAATGGTGGAGAATATACCACTATAAAACCATTGTGTTAAATGTCACTGGGGCAACATGGCTGCTAAAAATATCTAAAATTGATTTCCAGCAGAGATAGCAACTGTTACTGAAATACCAATTAGTAATTTCTGAGATCTGTAACCGTTTTTTAGCATAAATCCAAATTTAAAAAAAAAAACAACTTACTAAACTGTCCTTCAGTGTTAAGCAAAGAAGCCACTTTTGTTGTTTCTTATTCCAAAATATGCTTTTCACCATAACGGTGTCAGAAGCAGTTCTACAGCTACAGAGTTCAGAATATCTGACAAGCTCTTGCACAGATAATACACTATTATAAGCAGTTTGTGGTGGCCTGTTCAGTAACAAACTACTGCATGTAAGAAGTAAGTGTTGGGGAGGCCAAGATCAAAGCATTATAAATGTAAAGGGAATTTGAAGGAGAAAATGTTGATCCTCTGAATTCCCTCTGGGTCACAGTGGGACTTTCATGGAAGGGGAGAGAAATATAAAAGCTACTCAGGATTTATTCCTGTGTGAAAGAGCAACATGAGAGTTGATTGACTGAGAAATTCTAATCCTTCACTCCACAGGATATGAAATAAAACACATCTGTATTTTGCTAGGGAAAAACATTGGAGAGCTGAAGTGTGATGGGTTTTGTCTTTTACTCTTGAGGTCAAAATGCAAACTCAGTAATGTTGCAAAGTCTCCACTTGGGACTCCCAGCAGCATGGCTGTGCACCTGTGATGGAAAGGCTTTGCTTGAAGTACCTTTGGTCTGTCTGTCTGTCCAGTCTCTGTGCATCAAGCGCTGTGCTTAGGCCAGAAATGATGATTGCTTTAAACTTCTCTCCTCTGTTCACCCTCTGTATTTCAGATACTCTCTTCTAGCACTAGGGAGCAGCAGTTGCAGACAATGACTCCACGTTATGGTGGAGTAGGGTCTAGGTAGAGCTTACAGTTCTCTGAAATCAGCACTTCAGGATCCTCCACAAGGTGTGTTGAGCCACAGCTTGAGGCCATAACTCCCTAATGTTACTTTAGTTTCATCTTTGATGGGAAGTAATCATAAACATGTAAAATAGGAAGTCTTCACTCTTTAGGGGGTAGAACATTGGAACGGGGGACTGGAATTCCCCATGACATCCATACATGGATGAAGGATCTGCAGGACTGAGGAAAGGTGCCAGATCAGCTGGGGACAGGGCTGTTCATAAGCCTGTGATATTTAAACTAAGCTTTTTAGATTGGTCTCAGGGTGGGCTGAAGGAGAACAGTCTGCCTCACAGTTCCTCAAGTGAAGAGTAGAATATCCAGAAATGTAAGTTTTATTATAACACAAGTGTTAAAGGCCTTGACTTGAAACCCAAGATCACCCTAAACTCATTCATAAAATTATTAATAATTATGCAGGTTCATTTGATCCCATTTAACCTTCTGTGTGTGTGAAAGGAGGGGTAATTAGTGACTCTTCATCCCTGGATCTAGACCTGTTTGACCATCAGTGATGTGAAATGGCTACATACCTGTATTGGAAGGTGGGATGAGGTTCTGCAGAACTTGCTCTTTCTTTGTCCAGCAGCCAGATTTGTTTGCTTTGATGGGCCAAGACAGATCCCAGATAAGTAATTTTCCTGTGAAGTAGAATCATAGATTTTTCCTTAAACCTTGTTAATGGCATTGTAGACTTCCCATTACAAGTAGAAGGCAATGGCATGGGAACAAATAGTAAATAATTTCTTTTGACAAGATATACTGTGTTACAACTTTGAATTCTTTCTGGGTCTGCTGTGAACCTGAGGTTGAAGCAATTTGCTGTGCTGAGTGTCACTGTTTCCCCCTTTAATTCCACTATTTCCCAATTCTATTGTCTGTTTGCTTTTTCCTTCTCTGATGATCCAGAGTCCAAGTGTGCAGCATCTCTTTTCCTATCCCCTTCTGCTGTAATCACAATAAACCCTTAGAAAAAGTAGTTTGACAAAACTTTATGTGATGCTTCCTGACCTTCCAATGCCAGGTGCTCAGCCCCCAGCACTGCATGTGGAACCCCCCTTGGACTACAGGGTCTCGCAGATTCCTGTGGCAGGGGAGTCAATAATGAAGCAGAGAACCTGCCTGAGGTGTTGCAATAACAATCCTACCACTCTTAAGAGTGTAAAACCAAAAGATGCCAAACTGACACTGCAGGAGGTTGAGTAGAGGCTGTTTAAAGACAGCAGAGGTGTGATCTGGAGAGTTAGTTTAGATGCCTGACAGTAGTCATTGGGATTTGTGTAGTGTACATTTTTTGTTTTATGTTTTTTTCATTGATTTCATACATGTGTGTCACTGTTGCTACAGTATCCTCTTCATCACATTGTCAAAAAAATACTCTTTACCTGCTTATTCCGGAAGGGATCTGGCTGAGGCTTGCAGACACTTCAGTGTTATGGCAATGTGTCTTTTGCATCAGCACATAACACTGTGTTAGGTGTGTCTTTTGCCTTTTTATACATGGGATGTTTCCCTAACAGTGAAAGTAATTCCCTCTTTTGAGAAAATTCGCAAGACCTGAACCCCTTCCAAATGGCCTTTAAGTAGAGAGAACACAGAGGGTTTCTCTGAACTGGAAACTTCAAACTGAGTTTCTCCCCCGTATACAAACCAGCAGCACAGGAAGTTTTCAAAATAGACTTTAAAAAAGGCTGCAGAATATTGCACTGTTTTACTTCATTTCTTACAAATGCACACTGCAACAGTGTGTTGCTGCAGTGCAGTTAACTTCTGAAATGGGAGTTTATATGGCAAAAGCTCCATATCTCCTACCAGTGCTTGCTCTGAGGGTAGCAGAGAACAGCCACTTTTCTGACACCTCTTCCCATTTGTATTTCCAAGTTGACAAAGGGGATGAAATACTGTGGAATCAATCTACTGACCACCAAAAAGAAGAGGATACTGTGGCTGCAGTTGTTACTGTGATATGTTGTCCCTGACTGTATTCGTGATGTTCATTTTTTCCCCCCACCCTTCTTCCTTGGGCTCATTCTCACTTTTTTTTTCTCTTGCTCTCTTCTCTCCTTTTTTCCCTCCCCCCTTCCTTTTTGTTTCTGTTGTCTCAGCTGGAGGTTCTCCACTACCGACTCAGTATCTCCAGTAAACACCACGGTAGTCCTGCCCAATCCAGCTACCAGGCCCTCCACGCATACCAAGTATTATCATCTTTTCATTTTGTTTCCTTATTAAAAATCTTGTTCCATCATATAATCTGCGAAGTGTATTGGTGCTGGCTGTACAGCAGCTTTTTCTGCCAGCAGTGTGACAGCTTGATTGAGATCACTGCACTGAGATTTACTAAACTTTTCAGTGAAACAGCTACCAGGAGATATTAGCAAAGGCCATGGAGAAAATATTTAAAATGTAGCATATTATGAGGACTAATTGGGAACTCTGTTTCTAGAGATGCATTCTTGTAATACAGTTTAGAAATACTTATCAGCTATGCTGATGTTTCTTCATCAATGGCAGATTTCTGCCCCTCATTAAAGCAAACCTTGCATGGAAGAAAAGATCAGAATTTGCATGGTTGTCACCCAAATTAAGGTAGGTAACATCTAGGGCTTTTTAGCCAAGGAAATGTCTTTGGATAATACTAAATTTGTAGTGGCAATGTGAACCTGGCTGTCCACTTTTGCAAAAGCACGAGTGGTACATTTGCAGATTGTTCAGGAAATGTGCATGCAAAAACATTCCTGTTGGAACAGATTGCTGATTCCTCTTTCCCTACTTCAGCCTTTACTCATTGGGTCTTCATTTTGGGAATGGGGAGGGCTAAGCTTATATACTATAAAGCTCTTTAGCACTACATTGCATTTCCCTGCTCTTTAATCCTTTTTTCTTTTTTTTTTCATTAAGTGCTGTGATATCTCAAAGTACTGCTTAGAAAGGAACACAGAACATACTACTTGAAATCTCTTTGTTATGTTTACCTAATTACTGTGTTAAGAACTAAGAATGGCATACAGCCATCCTGTAAGATAGGGGTGGACAACAAAAACACTTGTGGGGAAAAACAGTTTTTAAACCAGTGATGTTCATAATGGTGCTGATCCAGGCTAAGAGGAAATTATGAGAATTGCTAAGGGGAAAAACTACTGACATCACTCAAAAGGATGTATTGAAATAGCGGTGGTTTTGTAAATTCAAAAGGTGCCTTCAAGTGGAGCATAAGATTTTTTTAAATACACCCTTTGAAGGCCTATATCCTGATCCAAATTCCTAGGATGTAACCCCTCAGAGCTGTACCCTCTGACATAAACTCTCCTCAGGACTGTAGAAAACATGCCAACACAAGCAGGAGCTGTCAGAACCACAAGACCAGCCTTCATTAGGACTAGTATCCATTTGTCCTTCTCATAGAAGAGTCTCAGATCTGGCTGCCTCTATCATCAAGCCTTGAATCTTCTCCTGGAGTGAACCTCACAGTGTATTAAAAGTCTTAAGAGACTGTAAAAACTCATCTGCTTTGCCCCAGGCATTGCAGAGAAATGACATAGACACACACAGACCCCTCCCTGCCCCCAGCACTGGAAATACTGTTGAATGGATTTAAGAAGTGGAAGCTTTTTGTATAAAAATGTCTGCCAGTCCCTTAGAGTTACATTCAGTGTCTTACCTTAGCATGGCTGCACCTGCCATCCTGGAAACATCTTGCAGCCATTGTCTGATACACTCTCCCAGGACTTCCCATTATACTGCAGCTGTAACTTTTGTTTCTTCTCAACTTCTGTGAAACTTAAAATACAAATAGCTACCTCAAAATCTGCCTTCAGTGGTGGATTGAAATCAGTTCACTACTCTTAAAGCAGATCACAGTAGCAAAGGAGTTTGTGCTTAGTCCCCAGGTTCAGCAGCAGACCAGCTCTGGTGCTGGACACGCAGAACCAGCTCTGTTTGACCTCATTCACCTCCCTGCTCTGCCATACACTCACTCATTCCCTAATAACATCACTGTGGCTCACCCTCACTCCTTGTGCTACTCCCAGCCCTAAGGATGCTAGAACCAACAGGATCACACAGGACTCCAAGCAGTTCTTATTCTTACCATTACTCTGTCTAGGATTATTCTCTCTTATAAGGCAGAGGAAGGAGAAGTCAGTAAAGCCAGCCCTGAGCATAAACAAAGGACCTGCTGTGCTGTCTGCAGCAATGAACTTATAACCATAATGAAAGGCTGAATATTCTTTTTTCAGAAAGGGGTAAGTTGAAATCTACAAGTTATTCTGTTCTTTAATTCTAGCCCAAAATTCAGTGCATTAGAGTACTGTAGATACCTTTTCTTACAATCAAAATATGTTGCTGTTTCTTAGTGAACTGATGGCAGAAGATTGATACAGCTTGTCCTGGGGAGCAAGCCTGCCCAAAGTCAGGTGGCACCAAACTATGGTGAAGAACCTAGAAGGAAGAGAGCATTTCTTGTGTTTTGAGCTGAGAATATAATTTTCCTGAATTATTTCATGGACATTTAGCATATGACACTTATTAGTTTCTTCTCTTTTGCTTTGAATCTAGGAGTCATTTAAGCCCACTGAAGAGCATGTGCTAGTGGTAAGACTGCTTGTGAAACACCTGCATGCTTTCAGCAACAGCCTGAAACCAGAGCCCCTCTCCCCTTCAGCCCACTCCCACACAGCCAGTCCACTGGAGGAGTTTAAAAGGTAGGTACATGAGCAGCCTGTCTCTGAAACGTATAGGGCTTCTCCCTGAAAAGCTCAGCTTTCACCAAGAGGATGAGTTGTTTTGATCTTTAGATACAGAAATACATTATTAAAAGTACAAAAGTAATGGATTATATTTCTCACTCTCACGGGGGGGCAGCCTCAGCAGCAGCTATGACACACTTGTCTATATCCTGGCACAAGTCAGAGAAAAGAAATGCTACCAGAGGATTCTTGCCAAGGTTAGTTTAGTATCTGCTGTTTATGAATTTGAGTTGAAACTCAGTGGCCAGAAGTAGCCTCAGTTAAGAAAGAACAAGTTTTGATCAGTCATTTCTGTATTTGCAGTTGTGGTAATGTGTTGGGTTGTTGGTAGGTTAGGTTGTTTTGTTTTTAAAATTTGCTGCTGGTTTGTACATGTGACTGTCTTTGAATCTGTTTGCAGGGTTGTAATTCCTCGGTTTGTCCAGGAGAAGCTTTACATCTTTCTACAACACTGTTTTGGCCACTGGCCTCTGGATGCCTCTTTCAGAGCAGTATGTACCTACCTGCTTCCCTTTTTAAGTCTGTACTTAACAGAACTGGTTATTAGTTATTGCCATTTAGCACCTATTGGTCTCTAAATCTCTCTTTTCTAGAGCAGTGGAATTCTTTATCTAAGATACACATTTAATATTAGACAAAGAGTACCAATTAGGCATAAGAAGGAAGTTGAATAGATCTTGGTGAGAATTACTACAAATTGGTGGCTGATTTTCCTGACAGTGAAAATGGCTGTTGATTGGGCAAAAAAAAGTAGGTGTTACTCTTAAAATAGATGCTAAGAAATTAGGACCTATATGAATGTATCTAATCTAATACAGTAGGTCATAAACAAAAGTAATATGATACTCATTTGCAATAGATACTGCAAATACTACCTCCTGCAAGCAGGAAAAGAAATATATCCTGCCCTGATTCTTCCTAATTAATGTAGAAGTTTAAAAGTGCAGAATGTAACAGGGCTACATCTTGCTCACTGGATTTAAAATAAGCTGTATTGCAGTGTTTGAGGTGCATGTGTAAGGCAGAATGTGAGAAGAAATATTTACAGTGGCCATGGCAAATCTAGTCTTGACTTCAGTGCAGGCAGGACCCTGCTGTTTCCTCAGGGTGGTGGGTACATCTGTGCAGAAGACGAGAGCTGAAATTATATTAATGTAGCATCTTGTTCACTTCCTTCAGTAGGTTCAGTGAACACTATCAGGGCTGTTAAATGCACCTTAAATGTAGCCACAACTAAGGGGTTTTTTTGTAGTAGCTGTTTCAGTGCCATCTCATTTGGGCATTACAGAAGATCCAGGTTGGTCCTAAGAACATACACTTTTTCCAGTTCTTTTTCAAAGGTTCTCAGATTACAAGAGAAAGATTTATTCCTAAAAACTTTTAGGTGTCAGTAAGGTAATAGTCACTAATTTTAAAAGAAACAAACAAAAATCCCTTTCTTGTCTTCCCTTCCAAAAAAGTATTGATACTCCTGTGGTTTTATGTGTGATTTTGCTTAGGTTCTTGAGATGTGGCTGAGCTACTTGCAGCCTTGGAGATACGCTCCTGAAAAGTCGCCGCAGAGCGCGGAGCCTTTGCCTCGCAGCGTGTCGGAGAAATGGTAAGGAGGAAAGCAGCTGTGAGGAATCTGAGCCAGCCTCAAGGTTATGCAGATCCTGAGTAAAACAGCAGTGTTTCAAAAACTATCCATCAGCCTGAATTAATTTCCTGTACAAGAGTAGAGATGACTTTTTAGAACGCAAGTTTTTGCTTTGAGAGTATTCTTTTGTCTCAGTGCAAATTGACCATCTTTCCAGAGACAGAGTAAAACATTCCCTTAATGGCTCGTTTGGCAGAAGACAAAATAACAGTTATTTAAATAGCTGTACTCACAAATCCTGTACTCACTTTGACAGGGCTGCCTTCATTCAAGAAAACCTACTCATGTACACCAAGCTGTTTGTAGGATTTCTGAACAGAGCTCTTCGAACAGACTTGGTCAGCCCCAAAAATGCCCTCATGGTGTTCCGAGTAGCTAAGGTCTTTGCTCAGCCCAACCTAGCTGAAATGATCCTGAAAGGTAAAAGGATATTTTGACATCTTATGCTGTCTCAGTCCTGTCTTAGTCTTTCTTCACAATAGCTACATCTTACCTCAGAAGCACTGAGGTGAATAGGCTTCTCTCTCATTTTGAATGCTATTTTGCCATTCAAAAGTCTATGTGTCTTCCCTAATGTTTGTCATATTGGTTTGAATGTCTGTAGTCCTTTTCTAACCACCATCATTTAGATTTGATTCCACATTTGTTCCTTAAAGAACACAATTACAATAGGCAGTTTTTCTTACACTTGTCTTACTTGATTATTTACCTCAGGATTAAAACTTCTTATCTCTCTGAAGGTCTCTATACTTAGCAAAAGAGCTAATCAGCTAGTCATGCATGCACTTCAGGATAATTAGGATAGAGTAAATTGGGGAGAGGCAAGATTTGACAAGTATCAGTGTCTGAAATGTCATGATTCTCCACTGCCTTTGCTGAAAAATGTTACAGGCTTAAAATGCTGCCTGTATGGTCTGCACTAAATGCACTCTGACATTTTTTCCTGTGGGCAGAGAGAACGAAATAAAAAAGGGTAATTAAGGCCTCTTTTCCCCTAGAACCATCTGTCTATCTAAAAGCAGCTTTAAGACAGCTAGACTTTCCCCAGGCAAAAACAGTATTATGTAACCATCTTCACTGCTTATCTCAAATTCCAGGAGAACAGTTATTCCTGGAGCCAGAACTTGTTATTCCCCACCGTCAGCACCGACTTTTTATGAGCCCCACACTTGGTGGGAGTTTTTTGTCATCACGGTCTCCAGCTGTTACAGATGCCTCATTTAAGGTGAAGAGTCATGTTTACAGCCTGGAAGGACAGGACTTCCAGTATAAACAGATGTTTGGCACAGAAGTCAGGAATTTGGTAAGCAACAAGCTTCTTGTCACCTACCTTTCTACATGGACAGGTGTTTTCTCAGTGCTGAGCATCCATGTCATGAGAAGTTAGGAGTGGAAAACTTCACACCCTGCATTACTGTATAATTTGGTTTGCTCACAGTGACTTCTGGAACCTGAGGGGTTTCAGTCCAGCACAGCTGTAAAAATCTCCTTGCTCTTTGCTAAATAAGAAGTCAATGTAACAGCTTGCTGCATTGGACTAGCATATGGTGGGTAGTTCCTCTCAAACATTCTTACTGTGAACTTCTGATTCACTCTATTGATCAGAACCTATCAGCAAGTCAGATAAAAATAGCAGGAGGAAACCTAAGCAGCACTTGGGTTTTAAAATGCTTCAACATCAAAGAACTACCTTCTCCCTGTGGGAAATGCAACTAATAGTCAGCACAAGTCCATATGAGCTAAGAGAGTGAATTTGCTGGGATTGCTCTCACTGCCAGCTATCAAGGTACAGTTTTATCTCTGTATTGATGCTCAGTCCCACACAATTTTGTTTTGGTTTTGTTTGTTTGTTTGTTTTAGGTGTTAAAACTGGCTCAGTTAATTTGTCAGGCACAACAGACAGCAAAATCCATATCAGACCATTCTGCAGAGACAATGGCTACCCAGTCCTTCTTTTCATGGTTTAGATTTACACCATCTGACATGAATGGTTCCTACACAGGCAATGACCTTGATGAAATTGGGCAAGACAGCATCAAAAAAACAGATGAATATTTAGAGAAGGCACTGGAATACTTGTGCCAAATCTTTAAGGTATGTAACATCTTTCTAAGAACTTGTACAGTGTGAACAAGAGTCAGGATTCCTCAAATGTATTTCTGTGTTTCTTGTTCTTTGTGGAGTCACAAAGCCACCCAGAGGCTCTGCTGGCAAATTGTGTTGTTAAAGTCTTCTAGACTCTTGACTTCACCTGGCCACCTCAAAACCCTGTATTAGCTCCTCTGAATTTCTAAATATCAAGCCTGCTTTGTTTCAAGTGGCCACTCTTTTGGACTGTATAGTTTATACCAAACCTGTCCCTTTACTTGGGCCTGTCCTCATGTTTAAAAACAGTCCAGTGTCTTCTAAATGTAGAGCTGTAAAAGTTGAACAAATAACTGCAGCTATGGATGAACAGTTAAGAGAACAGATGAATTTCTCTGCAGCCACACTCCCTTACACAGAACTGACCTAGGAGACAGCTGTTTGGTACTCGAGAGCTAAGGGACGTACAAACCAGAACACCTTTCTTGGGTTAACCTGGAGACTTTTATCTCCTTTTAATGTCTAACCAAGGTG